CAAGTCAGGCAAACTCAATAGAGTTGCAGACGCGTTGAGTCGCAGACATGGCCTTCTTACGACCCTGCACACCTCGGTAACCGGCTTTTCCTCCTTCTCTGACTTGTATGCGTCGGACCCTTATTTTGGGAAAGTATTGATGGAGGTTCGTGATAAAACTCGTGACGACTTTACACTTCTGGATGGCTTCTTATTTCGGGAGTCACATCTTTGCATTCCAGACTGCAGCCTCAGGCTACGGGTTATTGACGAACTGCACAGAGAAGGACATGTTGGGAGAGATAGGACGCTTCAGCTGGTTGCGTCTTCTTACTATTGGCCTTCGATGCGCAAGGATATTGAGCGTTACGTTGAGAGGTGTCGAGCTTGTCAACTGGCTAAGGGGCATGCGTCGAATGCAGGCCTTTACCTCCCTCTTCCAATTCCAACACAGCCTTGGACTGACTTGAGCATGGATTTTGTTCTTGGATTGCCGCGCACTCAGAAAGGTAACGATTCCATATTTGTGGTAGTGGATTGTTTTTCGAAAATGGTGCATTTCATTCCTTGCAAGCGGACCACAGACGCGTCACGAGTTGCTCAGCTGTTCTTTAGTGAGGTTTATCGCTTACATGGGCTACTAACTTCAATTGTCTCAGACAGGGACACTCGTTTTCTCAGTCATTTTTGGCGCTCCTTGTGGAAATTGTTGCATACTAGTTTGGATATGAGCACGGCCTATCACCCTCAGTCAGATGGCCAAACAGAGGTTGTCAATCGCTCCTTGGGAAACATGCTGAGAGCGCTTGTCGGAGAGAACATCAGAGCTTGGGAGTCGAGGATTTGTCAAGCTGAGTTTGCTCACAACCATGCAGTCAATCGCAGTTCTGGTTTTAGCCCTTTTCACGTGGTGTATGGAATTGTGCCGCGTTGTCCTTTGGATTTAGCTCTATTGCCTGATAAGAAACGTTATCATGGAAAGGCTTCCGAGTTTGTGTCGTCACTTCAGGAGGTTCATAAGTTGGTGGTGCAGAACCTTGAACATTCTGCTGCGAAGTACAAAGCTCAGGCTGATGTGAAGCAGCGTGAACTGATTTTCAACCCTGGTGATTTGGTGTGGGTTGTGCTTACTAAGGATCGCCTTCCAGCGCATGAGTACAACAAGTTGAGGTCTCGGAAGATTGGTCCGGTTCTCATCCTGGAACGCATCAACGCAAATGCCTACCGCATTGAGTTACCTGATCACATCAAGACTGCTAATGTTTTCAACGTTAAGTATCTTTCCAAGTTCGCAGGTGAAAACGAAGATCAAGATTCAGAGGCGAATCTTCTCCAACCTGGGGAGACCTGATGCAGCGCATCTTCACCTCCACTTCCTTTTCGCGCCTACACTTCATATCTGTGGAGGAACCGACATTACACATTTATTTTGGGCTTTCATAGTTAGTTGGGTTTTCGTATTTATCTTTAGGAAGTCATATTTATCTTAGGAGTAGTTATCAGGATCTTAGTAGTTAGGATTTCGTCTTGTTATATATACGACCTTTGTGTCGTGAGAGAAGATACACTTTATTCATTTTAATAACAAGAGCTCTATTAGTTCTTCTCTTCTCTTTGACTTCGGCTATTCTTTGTGAATCAACGAACTCAAAGCTTTGCGACATTCGGGTATTCTTTAGACTAAACGAATCTCGTCTTTACAGTCTTACGCTGCGCCAGATACCCATGAAAAAGAAATCTTCTTTTTTTTTCTGTCGACTTTTTCATTTTATAATAGTGAAGATTGTGCAATGTCCATTGCTATTTCCAGGTGATTACATACTGTTGTTTATTGCACCTGGCTTTTTTCGCTAAATGATCTGCAATTGCAACAAGATTTCTAGGGACCTGGTAGAAGGAGAAGCTATTTTGCTTAGCTATGTTTACTATATCTTTAACTATGGAGGTAGCTTCGTTTATGTGTTCTGCATGATTTCTTCCTTCCATAGATTCCAACTTTAAGTAAATAGCTCCCCACAATCACCTATAAATGTGACCCTACTATATGCTAGTCTGTGCACTTGTTGAACCGCTTTCAGCATGGCCATTGCTTCTACTACCAATCATGATGAGGTAGGCTCAACTGCAGAACTTCCTTGAAGTCTAGGAATGCCTTCTTTGCTTATTAAGGACCACCCTATTCCAGCTTGTTCTTCTGGTGACTTCCAGGACGCATCTACAATGCATAGAAAATCTATTTGTTGAGGGAGAACGTGGAAGAGCGATTTTAGAGAGAGGGTAGCTTGAACCTGATTTACAGCAATGTTCTGAGGATTTGCTTTGTAATTGGAATGAGATTTTGTGCTTCTTCCCATATATTTTTTATCCATCATTGCTGCTTTAATGACATGAGTTATGTGATCCCTCTTATTCTCAAAAACGATCTTGTTGCGCATTTTCCATATTCTCCACCCAAGATAGAATGGAAGTGTATCTAACAGCCCATGTTGCATCTGTTCCATTAGACTCTGTATAAAGGAGAGAGTTATATTCTGTTGATTTAGGCGAGGGCAAGTATTTAACAGTGAAAAATTCCATATTTCTTTGGATACTCTACAACCAAAGAGCATATGTTTTACTGTTTCTATCTCCTCACCACATGTTTGACAATATTTATAAACTCTGCATCCTCTAATAATAAGGTTTTCTGCCACTGGAAGGCCATTATGAATACACTTCCACCAAAAGATTTTTATCTTCGGAGGTAGTTTCAGGCTCCATATGTTATTTAAGCAACTATTGCGCTGATCAATTAAAGGATCAGAGGGAGCCTGATTCTGGGCGTTTTCATTATCAATCGTCCTCTGGATGTGATATCCAGTTTTTACTGTGTAGACTCCGGTTTTACTATACATCCAATAGGCTGTGTCATGCTCTCCTGTAACTGATGGTCGAATGCTCATAATTCTTGGGACATATTGAGAATGAAAGAATATTTTTAACTAATAAGTTCGGTAAAGTAGAGGAACCAGGACCAGTAGGTGTCTCATTGCTTGTTCCTGGAAGCCAATTATCAGCCCATACTCTAACCATCTGACCATCTCCTATGATCCATTTCAATCCTCGTTTTATCAGAGGAAGGGTTTGAACTATACTCTTCCAAGCATAACTTGAGGTTTGATAGCTTCTAGAGTCTAGAATATTTGCTTTCCTATAATATTTAGCTTTGTAAACCCTTGCTAAAAGTGAGGAAGGTTGTGTGATTAGGCGCCAAGTCTGTTTTGCTAGTAAGGCAATGTTAAATGCCATCATATCTCTAATACCCAATCCTCCTTCTCTCTTTGAACAAGTGATTTTGTCCCACGCTATCCAAGGAACTGAATGTCTGTTTTTATTACCCGACCACCCGAAGTGTCTCATAGCTTTTGAGATTTCTTTAAGTAGAACTTTGGGCAATAAGAAACAAGACATCGTGTATGCATGGAGAGCTGTTATCACTGCTTTTAGTAATATTTCTTTCCCAGCTGGGGATAGAAACTTTGAATACCAATTCTCCAGATTGTTTTGAATCCTTTAGACTATATACTGGAAGACCTCTTTCCTATTTCTACCTATGAACTCAGGTAAGCCCAAGTAATGCCCAAAACCACCTATTTTTGTTATACCAAGTTGATTAACAATTCTTTCCTGGAGATTTTGGAGAGTGCCTTTTCCAAAGGATATTGCCGATTTGGTGTAGTTTACCTCTTGTCCCGAGGCTTCTTGGTAAAGCTTAAGAATTCTTGATATATTGGTGGCTTCTTCTTCCGTTGCCTTACAAAAAAGTAGAGAATCGTCAGCAAAAAGGAAATGTGAGATATGGGGGCCATTTCTGGAGGCTTGAAATCCATGAATTTTTCTTTCTTGAATATTCTTTTTGATTAGACGGGAAAGGCCTTCCGTACAGATGATATATTAATATGGAGAGATAGGGTCACCTACGTAGCCCTCGTTGAGGTTTAATGATTTTCGATGGCTCACCATTAATCAAGACTGAATGTGTAACAGTGGTAATGCATTTCATTATCCAATCTCTCCATTGTCTGCAGAAACCCATCTTCTCCATCACTAAATCAATGAAAGACCATTCAACTTTATCAAAAGCTTTTGCAATGTCAAGCTTAAGGGCCATGAACTTATTTTTAAGGTTTTTCGTGTGGAGAGAGTGCATAAGTTCATGACTTATAAGGACATTGTCAGTGATGAAACGGCCTGGTATAAATGCTGAAAAAGAAATCTTCTAGATACCAATTTCCCATGTTTCAATTTATAAATGGCATAATTCTTTAAGAAACAGTAATTAATTAATAAAATAATATTAAAATAGTGAATATTCTGGTCAGAAAATTACTTTGAGTATCTCGTGCACACAGGTCCCACCACAGAACCAAAAATTAAAAGAGAGAAGAACAACAAATGCACGTATGATGTATCAAATATACAGCCGAAGAAAAATGAGAAAGCCCCGCGAGCGTTAGGATTGGATGATTGGATCGGTCTCGTTTCTCCTTCTCGATCGTATCGAAAAGAAGATAACTAAATGATAGTCTTCACCTTTCTTTTCAATATAACCTCGACTTATTTTCCGACAAATCTTTCTCTGTATTTCATCTCCCATTGCAAAGATCCTTCCCCGACAAGGCGTCGATAAATAACATGGTATGTTACAATGTATAACAGTTTCAAACCCTAGCTTCGTAACATGGTTACGAAAAGTCGTACAAAACTACATTTTACGTCTGGATTTTAATGTATCTTCATAATCTAACAAAAAACACAGTAACTCGTATTGATTTTATGAAATTTGCACGATTGTGAATAGTTTTGTTGTTAAAACGTTGATTTGTTTCCTGCAGGTTGATAGGAGAGAGAGTTGTACTCGTGTGATCCTTTTAGCATATCAAAGTTTTGGGCTAGCATTTGGAGATTTGAGTATTTCCCCTCTCTATGTGTATAAATGTGCATTCTACGGAGGATTGCGTCACTACGAAACAGAAGATACGATGTTTGGAGCATTTTCTTTGATATTTTGGACCATAACACTCCTTTCACTCATCAAATACATGGTTTTTGTCTTAAGAGCAGACGACAATGGTGAAGGTAATTAGATGCATTGGTTTGCTAACTGATTTCTAGTACATTGATTCATACCCTTTGAGGTTTTGGTTGTTTTTTTCTGCATGTGTTCTATTTTTAGCGTAGTTGTTTTGTTCTGTGTTGCAGGAGGGATTTTTGCGTTGTATGCTTTGCTGTGCAGAAACGCGAGATTTTCTTTGCTTCTGAATCAGCAAACTGCTGATGAGGAGATATCTACTTACTATGGCCCTGGAGATGCAAACAGGAGTTTACCTTCTTCTGATTTCAAAAGGCTTATTGAACAGAATAAAAGATCCAAAACAGCTTTGCTTCTCTTAGTCTTGGTTGGTACTTCAATGGTCATTACCATTGGTGTCCTTACACCCGCAGTTTCTGGTAAAAAGGGCAGCTTTCTCTCACGGCTCTGTCTAGCCTTACAGTTTATCATCTAACATTACTCTTCTCTTGCAGTTTCTTCCTCCATTGATGGACTTGTGGCCAATACAAATTTGAAGCACAGTAAGAAATGTTTGCAAGTTTTTTTTTTTTGAAGGCAATGTTTGCAAGTTCTATTACGATTTCTAGCTTATAGACGACAGTTTCTTATTATTTGTCTTGCTTGTTCAGGTACTGTGGTTATGATAGCATGCGCTCTGCTAGTTGGACTTTTTGTTCTGCAGCACCGTGGAACTAACAGAGTTGCCTTTTTATTTGCACCCATCATGATTTTGTGGCTGTTCACAATTGCAACTATTGGTCTGTACAATATTTTTAAATGGAATCCCAGCGTATACAAAGCTTTGTCCCCACACTATATCTTTAAGTTCTTTAGAGACACTGGTAAAGATGGGTGGTTGTCTCTTGGAGGCATTCTTTTATGCATCACAGGTACTATATTATTACTCAAATAATATATTATGCTAAAACTCTTTCATCTTGGAAAAGTTTTGGAACTTC